TCAGGATCCTGCAAAAGTTTCTCAGGATCCTGCAAAAGTTTCTCAGGATCCTGCAAAAGTTTCTCAGGATCCTGCAAAAGTTTCTTAGGTTCCTGCAAAAGTTTCTTAGGATCCTGCAAAAGTTTCTTAGGATCCTGCAAAAGTTTCTCATGATCCTGCAAAGGTTTCTCATGATCCTGCAAAAGTTTCTTAGGATCCTGCAAAAGTTTCTTAGGATCCTGCAAAAATAAGTCAAGATCCTTTTTTTTCTTTCCTGTTCCTTTATGACATATAAAGGAAACATCATACTCATAACCATGGAACTCCCACCTGCAGTCACATTAATTCAAGATGGCCACCACAGCTGATCAACCTTAGCAAASACAAAAATGCCTGTAACTCAATCAGTGTCACATAAGCTAGGATTTGGTGTGATAGAAGCTGAAACTAAACAGATTGGGTGATATATTTGTTTAAGATTTTAACATGTAAGGTGGTGGATTATACAGAGAGGATGAAACACAGAGCTGCACTTAAATGGCTCCAAGATGTGAAAATGTTTTCACCCTGTAACTGCACTGCAGACTTTTTAAGCTRTATTTATCAATATAGTGTTATTAAACATTTTGCACTGATGATGTTATTTTCTAGGATGGTAAAAGGCAGGCTTCTATGCTAAATAGTTAAAAAGTGAAGCAAAGAGCACAGCACCAACTCCTCGTCACCAAACAATAACAGAGCTGAACATTTCTTGTGTTTTGGAGAGCAGCAATCACTTGTTTGCCTCAGTTCTTCAACTTATTGAGTCAGTAGACCTACTCCAACTACAGGAGCACCAAATCAACATATTAAAGAATTAACTTGGTGCATGTATAATGTTGTATAATTTCTGCAATTTAATTATTGTAATACCTTCCACATCCAGGTAAGCAACAGATTCAACATTTCTGGCGATAAACTTGATCTCTCCAGAATCTTCTGCTCGCACGTTGCACATGAGAAGAAAATGTTTTGTCCCTGAAATAATAATAAAAAAATTAATGAAAAAATTTTCAAATCTTAGCTATGCTATTTTATAATATATCTACAGCTCTCCGGGCTTACCTTCCTGACGGATCTTGATTGTACTTGTGGGTTTTATCCGTTCTCCATTCTTGTACCATTCTCCAGGCACGTCCTCCACAGAGATCTCACAAACAAACACAGCATTCTGATCCTCCTGGATGTCCAGATCGCCAAGGCCCTGAAGGACCGACAGCTTACGCTCTGAAGACAGATGTTGAAAATAAATAAATAAATAAATAAATAAATAAATAAATAAGAATTACTATTTTGACCATGTTTGGGATTTTTT